TAGACCATAGGTTCAAGCTTACAACCACAGCCGTTGGCTATGATTGTGCTGGGAGGGCCCTGCCCTCCAGCTGGGACTTGCATGTGGCAATGAGAGGACCCTGTCCTTTCATTAGTCCGAGGCTTGAACCTGGCCAAAACACTGTAACCGTGCCCCACAGTAATGAACTAATTTCATTACATCATATCCAGGGTACACACCACCAACATGACTTACCACTGATGATGTTGACCTTGATCACCTGGCTGAGGTAGTATCTGCCAGGTTTCCACACTGTGAAGTTACATTATCCCACACCCTTCCCATATTTCACTCTTTGGAGGTAAGACACTTAGTGCAGCCCATACTCAAGGGAAGAGGAGCCAAGCCCTTAAGAGGGGGGTATTTTGATTTCTTATGCACAGGGGACTTATCTATTCTCCATATTTGCTTATTTATTCAATCATTTATTTGTATTAGTATGAATGGAATCATGGATACTTATCTTATACTTTGGGTTATAATCCAATGCTATGTTACTTGTGTTGTTGCTCAAATGGTTCCATCTTTGGTTATCGAGAATTCTCTAAGGCTGGCTGCTGTCACTTTGACAAGCCCCCCCCCATCCTTTTCTTTTTTTGAATACTTCTTACTTTCTGGCACTCTAAGATTCTCCAGGCTTCCCTTGTATTGTCCCTGCTTTGCCCTAAAATCAGCCATTTTCCCAAGGAGCCTTGTTATTGGAGAATGATATTAGAAACTAGAATTTGGGTGCCGGGTGTGCTCATTGCTACTGGGGTGTCATAGCTTCTTCTCCAGGCTTCCCTTGTATTGTCCCTGCTTTGCCCTAAAATCAGCCATTTTCCCAAGGAGCCTTGTTATTGAATGATATTAGAAACTAGAATCTGGGTGCTGGGTGTGCTCATTGCTATTGGGGTGCCATAGCTTCCTGGCCCTCTCATGCACATGATGAGGAAATGTATACATGTATACTTACACAGGTAAAGGCACCTTCTATATTTATATCTACCCATCTGTGTCTATATTAAGCTAAACATGAATTTATACTATTGTCTCTGAACCTAGTCTAGTACCGCATGGTTCATTCTAGCTTTCCCCTTATCTGTAACTGCCCCTCCCCCTGGTTCTGACAGTGAAAAACCTGGATCTCACCACCTATTATTCACTTACTTATTCAATCCCAGTATACATGTACAGCAGCTTCAGAATATTGACCCATACCAGCATGGGAAACAACAGCCAACCAGAGTATAGTTCTTATATAGAGTTCTTTTTTACTTTAGTCTTACAGTTTCCATTCAAAGCACTGTTTTCCAAAGTTACTTTTCCCCCACACTCCCTTTAATGAGATTATGTTAGTCAGATATAGGTAATAGTTAGATTTTTTTTTTTGGGGGGGGGGTCACAGTCTGCATTCCACTGTGGGATCCTCTGATCTTCTGGTTGACTTAAAAAATGCATGCACCAGTGCACTCTTTGTGCTGGAAAGTTCTATGGGTATTGACATATACAAAGCATCATGTATTCACCATTACAGTGCCATACAGATTAGTTCCCCTGCTAACCCCAAATCTCCTGAGCTTCCCTTAGTCAGACACTACCTTCTAAACCCTTGGTATCACTGGTCTTTTTTTGTATCTTTATTGTTTTGCCTCTTCTGGAATATTATATGAATGAAATTACACACTCTGGAGACTTTTGGTCTGCCTTCTTTCACTTAGCATACGGCATTTTGAGGTTTATCCAGGTTGTTCTGTGAATTAATAGCATATTTTTTCATGATTACTTTTTATCACTGAATAGTGTTCCATTATATATGTTGTGGTTGTATGTGGGAGGGTTTAAATTGATTGGCTGATTGCCAAAGTTGGTGATATTCTGTTGGAGCCTCCCCCAGACAGCGGTATATGTATATGTATGTGTGTGTGTGTGTATACCTTTTCTCAGAGCAGCAATGTTTCATGCTCACCCCAACAGATAAATGTAGAGGAATAATACATGTGAATAGGGAAGAGTGAGCAGCCCAGGAAGGGGAAAAGATGAAATGGGCATCTTTCAATGCATTAAATATGAATGCTAATAATTCACCCTCAAAAATATCATGTCTATTTGAGCAACTTCCTATTGCATTTCATGTGTATTTTACCTGTTTACAACCTCTCTTTCTATTTGCTCAGGATGCTCTCCAAACCCTCTTAGACATATGTACTGTTACTCTCTGTGGTTTTAAACTGTTGGTCTCCTTAACTATTATTTGCAGGAATTTTTAAGAAAATAGCATCAGTTTGTTTATATCACAGCATATCAACTAAAAGTCTTTTTAGCCAGAATTCTGGATAGAAATTACCCTGTGCATATTCTTATTCTCTCTTATGAACAACAGGCAGGTTACGCAAAGAAAATGACATAAGAAATTCATGGTAGCTTTCTGGTATTTTTCATCCCAGGCATCTGTGTTAACTGATGGGCCACATGAATAATGACTGTAAGGTATGCCAAGGTCTTTAAGTATCTTCTGAATTATCAGACCTACTTGAAAAAATTCTTCTACAAAAATCATTATCCAGACTTTCTCTGAACTTGCCAAATAATAGTTAACTATAGTAGAATTTTTCATATTTAATGTTATCTTTGGGTCTATATCCTAGGCGGGGGGGGGGGGAATC